GTGGACTTTTTGATATCGTAGTCAGAATCCGATTACGGAAGTTAGAATAGGTCTGTAATGTTGAATGTGACTTGTGTGCAAAATTTGAGGTCAATCGGACATGATTTGATACGTTTCGGCATCGAATATAGAAGTTTGAAATTCTAAAGTTTATTAAGCTTAGAATGGGGTATGATTCATGATTTCGATATTGTTGGATGTGATTTGAGGCCTTGAGCAGGTCCGTGTTATGTTATTGGACTGGTTGGTATGATTGGACGGGGTCTCGGGGGCCTCGGGTGGATTCCGGGTGGTACACAGATCGAATTTGAATTTGAGGAAGAGCTGAAGCAGTTGGGCATCTGGCCCATTTTTCTCCCATTTTCATTGGTTTGGACGATTTTGGAGAGCTTCAAGGGGAGATTTTCATCAAGCAATTCGAGGTAAGTGGTTTCTTCCCATTTGTGAGTTACATACATGAATTATACATGGATTGGAACATGGAAATTAGCATAAATTGTGGGGTTTGTGGTAAAACAAAAACTAAAATTTGCCATTTTGGATTTTGACCACGAATTTGGGTATGGCATTGGGAATAAATCATATATTTGAGTTCGTAAGATTATGAGTAATGATTATCTTCGAAAATATTCGGAATCCGGGCACATGGGCCCAAGGGTGATTTTATTGACTTTTCAAGCGGAGTTGGGAATTGTTGTAAATAGGATTATAATGAGTATTTGAGTATATGTTAATGGGTGTGCATAATTATTGACTAGTTTTGGAGTGTTGGGCATTAGTTTGAGTCATCGGAAGGGCTTGGGAGCCGGTTATGGAACTTCAGAGCGAGGTAAGTCTCCTTTCTAACCTTGTAAGAGGGAATTTACCCCATAGGTGAAATAAATTAATGTGTGCTCCTATTTGTGGGGGCTACGTACGCACGAGGTGATGAGAGTCCGTGCGTAGCTACTATTAGGCTTAAATTCGGGTAGTCTAGGACCCAAAAGCATGCTTTACCTGTAATATTTGCAAATCCTTTTGTCAATTTAAAATGTTTAAATCATATCGAACTTTGTTAATAAATTTCTAAAAGGCTAGACATCGTTTCCTTGACTTTTAAAAGAGAAATTTCCTTTTCCTTGGATAATTTCCCCTTGATGAATTCTTGAATGATTATTTGAATGTGTTATCTTTTGTGGAACGGGCCGAACGCCTCAGCAGATTAAATAGATGCATCTATGGTTCGCTCCATTCGACCCTCTGGCAATGCACGATTTAAATATTATGTTGGATCGGGCCGTATGACCTCGACATGATTTGCGCATGCTTGTATTGCTTGCCCTGAAATTTATGACAATTGATATGGCCTCACTGGCCAGAGATATAAATTGTTAAAAGATGAAAATAAATTTTGGAGATTCCTTAATTATAAATTAATTGCTTACTTACTTCAAAATAATGAGCTTACAGTCGTTCTACGAAATCCATACTTAATCATACCATTGGTATTTTATTTATAGCCCCATAGTAAGTGTCTGAGTTGACCCCTCGTCACTACTTCTTCGGGGTTAGGCGGGATACTTACTGGGTACACGTTGTTTTTGTACTCATACTACACTTGCTGCATGTTTTGTGTAGGTACGTATATGACTAGTGGCCTTCTGGACGCAGAGGTGCGGTTATTACGGGGACTTAGGTGAGCTGCATCTTATGTACGACCCGTAGCCAGCAGAGTCTACTTCAAAGTATTGTATTTTCTTTCCTGTCCAAATTTGCATTCCGGACAGTTATTGTATTTTATTTTAAATTCCTAGAAAAGGCGCATGCTCTTGTAACATCGGGTTCAGGGATGATTATGGGATGTTCAGTATTGAAATTTGAAAATATTGTTATGTATTCTGTAAATTCATCTTCTACTAGTTAAATTGAAGTAAATTTACGATTTTAAAAATATTAAAATGCGAATTTAGTTGACTATTTAGTGTTGGCTTACCGGACAGTGGTGTCCGGCGCCATCACGACCTTTAACGGACTTTTGGTCATGACAGTACAGATATGACAGGAAAAATGGTAGTAATATCTCAGAGAAAACTCATAAACAGTTTGTACAAGTACAGAAATTTAGACATGATTTCAAGTTGAACAGTTTTAGCTCTACACGGATAAAATATGTACAAGGCCCCGTAAAATTTGACCAAGAACTCGAGGATTGTGGTACCTAGGTAGGCTAATGTGTAAGGCCCCGTTCATTTCTATAGTTAATTCGAGCAATTTCGAGCTTAGGAATACAATTTAATTTTTACTCGAACCACATGAGAACTTACTGGAGTGGATAAAGTTATTTGGATACTTGGGGATAATTATTTTATTAATATTTGAGTGTTGTAATAATGGGGAACACTTGGATTCTAAATTGTAAGCAATAAAACTAAAGAAAATACAATGAACTATCTCCCCATAGCACAGTTATAACACAGGAAGGAAGAGGAAATTTTAGCAAACCAGTGAGCTAAAGCCTTATAGCACAGCTATAGCACCAGTGGAAAAATACTGTACCTGGGCCTATTAAGACCTGAGCGGAGAGAGAGAAAAATAAAAGGATTTCAAGAATAGGGTTTTTCTCTCCATCACCCATCCGGCCAAGGCTTCTAATACACTTAAGGTGAATTTTAAGTGTGTTTTTATGATGATTTCACTTCTCAATCACTAGTTACAACAAGGTTTTGTATTGGATTCCATATGATTTCTTCAAAATCCCAAGAACACCCCAAAAATTGTCTTTCAAGATTTGGTCTACAAGAGGTAATATTTCATCCTTAAACCTACATGCATGGATTGTTAGTGAATATATGAGCAAAATATAAGAACTAGCACTTATGGGATGCTGATTGGAAGCCATAAGTGCTTAACCTAGATTATTCGGCATTGTACAGATATTGTAATGAGTTAATTAGTGAAATTTGATAGGTGCGAGTTCATTGATGATTATGATGGTGCTAAAGAAGGCAGTTAGTAGTCAAAGGATGTTGTATTATATATTGTTGATGGGAAGGAGGGATTGTTGGATTAAGAAACACCATTACTAGAGGCAGAAGAATGCTATGCACTCTAGGGTGTTTGATAAAATGCCAAAATAACCTAAAACCTCGAAATTTTTACTAATATTGGCCCAATTGAATTATGTTGATGTAAATTGAAGTTGTAAGAGTAGAGGGAGGTTTTAGTATCACTAAAGAGCTCCATCAAGGTATGTTGCCTAAACTCCCTTTCTAGAATTGGAATCCATGAATTCCTCGGAAGTTCTGAATACGGTTTGTTCAAACTCTCGTTCCAACTGTTCCAAATTGATTCCGAAAACTGATTTGCTTAAATTCTTATGTACTCAAGTCGTGTTCAAATTTCCCTTATCATACTATGCTCCCCTTAGTGGAAATATGTTCAAACATGGTTGTTTTAACTAATGTATATGATTTGAACCCATGTTTCAATCATAAATCACCATGTTATGCTTGTAAGTATTTCCAATGTGTTTTGAGTCCTTACATACTTATGAGTTGAAACTGTGTATTTCCCTTTTGGAAAAAGTATTTCATGAATAATTGGTGTAGCACTCGCTTGCGATTCTTTACTTGTGCTTCAATTGATAGTCATTTTGCTCCATTCTTTAGAAAGAAACCCATTGTGTTTAAAGCCTTCATTTCTAATGAACTTAAAGTAATATTCTGTATGTTGATGTTTATGATGATGACCCTTGAAAGTAAAGAAACGAAAGTGTGGAATATGAGATACGGTCATCATGACGTGAATGAAGAATCATACGTATGGCTAAGAGAGCCAATGAAATAATAATATTGTGAGTGGTTGAAAGTACTAGTGAAGCTATATGTGGTATAGAAGGTTATGAGATAAATGTATTTGTATTTATGTTTCCTTTGTGTACAACAACAACAACAACAACAACAATCCAATATAATCCCACTAGTGGGGTCTGGGGAGGGTAGTGTGTACGCAGACCTTACCCCTACCCTGGGGTAGAGAGGTTGTTGCTGATAGACCCTCGGTTCCCTCCCTCCAAGAACTCCCCACTTTGCTTTTGGGGTGACTCGAACTCCCAACCTCTTGGTTGGAAGTGGAGGGTACTCACTACTAGAGCAACCCACTCTTGTCTTATACCTCAAATACAAGAAAGTATATAATCAAAATAACAACAACAACAACATACCCAGTATAATCCCACGAGTGGGGTCTGGGGAGGGTAGTAAGTACACAGACCTTACCCCTACCTGGAGAGGTAGAGAGGTAGTTTTCGATAGACCCTCGGCTCAAGAAAAGGTAGAAATGAAGAATATGGGGGAAGAATAGGAGGGAATAGGTGAGAAAGACGATAAGCAAAGAGGAGAAAAAGTAGCATCAAATAGTAGCCATCGGGGAGCAACAATATCAAGTAAAAGGGGGAAAAGTAACATAAAATAGTAACAATCCCACTAGCAATTTACAAAAACAAAGAAAGTGGTTGCAAAGTACCAGATACAATAAAAAACTATAAGGAAGTAACTTTCAACCCATAGCAAGAATATTACTAATGCTACTGGTGAACCTATGAAAAACTTGCAGCTACCTGTCAGCCCACCACCTTAATCCTCGACCTCCACATATTCCTATCGCTAGTGATGTCATCGGTGAGGTGAAGCACCGACATGTCCTGCCTAATCACCTCTCCCCAATACTTCTTAGGCCTACCCCTGCCTTTCCTCAAGCCCGCCATGGCAAACATATCACACCTCCTGACCGGGGCATCTTTATCTCTCCTCTTCACATGCCCAAACCATCGCAACCTCGATTCCCGTAACTTGGCTTACACTGGTGCCACTCCCACCTTGTCCCTAATAACTTCATTCCTGATCTTGTCTTTCCTGGTATGACCACACATCTATCTAAACATCCTCATTTCTTCTATGCTCATCTTTTGGACATGAGACTTCTTGAAGGGCCAATACTCAGCTCCAAACAACATAGCTAGTCTAACCACAACCCCTGTAGAATTTGACCTTAATTCTAGGCGGTACATTCTTATCACATAAAACCCCTAAAGCTAGCCTCCATCTCATCCAACCTGATCCAACGTAGTGAGTAACATCCTTGTCAATTTCCCTGTTGCTTTGGATTATAGACCCAAGATACTTGAAACTATCTCTTGTGGGAATGACTTGAGTATCAATCTTAACTTCTACTTCTTCTTCATGCCTCTCCTCATTGAACTTGCACTCCAAGTATTCAGTTTTCAACCTACTCAACTTGAAACCTTTGGATTCCAGCGTCTGTCTCCAAACTTCCAAAATAGCGTTAACACCCCCTCGTGTCTCGTCAATCAGTACTATGTCATCAGCAAATAGCATGCACCATGGCACCCTCCCTTGTATGTGACGTGTCAAGACATCCAATGCTAGTGTAAACAAAAATGGGCTAAGGGCTGATCCCTGATGTAACCCCATCTCCACTGGGAAATGTTCCGAGTCTCCTCCTACAGTCCTCACCCGAGTCTCAGCGCCTTCACACATGTCCTTAATTACCCCAATGTATGCTACCGGGACTCCACTAACCTCCAAACACCTTCATAGCACCTCCCTTGGTACTTTGTCATAAGCCTTCTCAAGGTCATTGAATACCATGTGCAAGTCCTTTTTCCTCTCCCTATACTGCTCAACCAATCATCTCACAAGGCGAATGGCTTCTATGGTTGATCGTCCCGGCATAAATCCGAACTAGTACTTAGATATAGATACGCCTTTCCTCACTCTCTTCTCCACCACCCTCTCCCAGACCTTCATAGTGTGACTCGGCAGCTTGATACCCCTATAGTTGTTGCAGTTCTGGATATCGCCTTTGTTTTTGTACAATGGAATCATCAAACTCCACCTCCAATCTTCGAGCATCTTCTTCATCTTGAAAATGATGCTAAACAAGCTAGTAAGCCACTCCAAGCCTACCCTACCCGCTTCTTTCCAAAATTCCAAAGGGATCTTGTAAGGCCACCGCTTTTTTCCAAAATTCCACTCCAAGCCTACCCTGCGCTATGTTGGAAGTTAACGTTATGTTTCCTTTGTGTACAAAATGAAAGTATTTTTGGGAGTATCATTAGCGAGCCGAGGAAGGGTGGGTTGTAACGGCCCATACCTGAAATTACACGTGCCGGTGTAGGCATGGATTGAGATTATTCCCCTTGATTGGGATGAGATTGATGTATTGAGATTATTACCCTTAATTGGGATGAGATTGATGTTAGCCCTGAATTGGAAGTCGACCCACACAGCATATGTGGAGAGATGGCCTAGCCGATCGAGTGGCGATCGGATGCCATGTCACGCACATGGTGGTTCCTACTCTTGGTATCACCTTTATTTCGCATTACCGTGTCAATCCACATTGATTCCTGGAGAGATGGCTCAACCGATCAAGTTTGTGATCGGACTCCATGCCTCGTGTATGGTGTGATGATCGGATGCTAATGATCTCCCAACTAAAAAAATGTTAAATTCTTATTTTCAAAATTGTTATGTTTTAACTTGGCATTTAGATATCATTGGTTGTTACTTGCTTCTTTCATGATTATTCCCTTTTTATATTGGAATTTTATTTCATGAGAGGTATTTAGATTTACATACTAATACTATTCCATATGTACTAATGTCCCTTTTAGCCCCGGGCGCTGCATCTTTAATAGATGCAGGTAGTTCGTCAGCGGGCAACTTTGATCCTCGTTAGTAGTTACCTTCTATTCAGCAGGTTATAGTGAGCTGTATTCTACTCCAAGCCATATGTCACTTGACATTGTATATTGTGTTTTCAGGTATAGCCGGGACCTTATCGCCGGCACTTCCATACTGCTCTTCTATTGGACTTAGAGGCTCCGTAGACATGTTGTGGGTGGTGTTCGATGTTGGGTAATGAACTAGAAGTCTTGGTATTTGGAAAACATGTTTTCCCCTCATAATTATGAACTTTCTTGCTTGCATGCTGCACCTCAGAACTTTGCTACGTTACTATAGTTTTCTAAAGTTGAATGAAAGTCGAAATTTCACTTGCACTGTCATATTTATTTTGGAAATTGTAAATGAAGCTCTATTAAGTAATGGAAAAAGAATGAGGAACAATTTACTCTTTTCATGTCTCTCTCTTATTACTTATGCTTATATTGTTCATGGGTAAGGTTGGGTAGAAGGTATTAATTAGGGCTTGACTGGGGTATCTCGGTTGAGCACCGGTCGCGCTCCCCCAGGTCGGGTCGTGATAATATGCCAAGTACAACTCATATGAAGAATGTTACATCTTTATATCTACATATCAAATGTGCATGTCATATGTAATGCAGCACAATGATAACCTTACGTACTCACACTCTCTGAGTACTCAATCTGACTATCTCAATTCTCACTCATCACACTCTCTGAGTACTCAATCTGACTATCTCAATTCTCACTCATCACACTCTCTGAGTACTCAATCTGACTATCTCAATTCTCACTCATCACACTCTCTGAGTACTCAATCTGACTATCTCAATTCTCACTCATCACACTCAGTCACTCAGCATAGTACGATACCTGTGCTCACTACTGGTGTGTTAGACTCCGGAGGGGTGGATCCTGCCCAAATGCTAATATAAAGCCAATATGTCCTACTGCGGTGTGTAGCCCGATCCCATAAAAATATATAAAGTACATAGGGCTTGCTGCGGCATGCAACCCGATCCATAATAATATATATAAAGCCAAGAAGGCCTGCTACGGTGTGCAACCCGATCCATAAATCTCACTTACAACATGGCTCTCAGGCCCCAACTCAGTCATCAATCTCTCTAGTCTCCCGGGCTCACAAATCTCATGCCAATGAGCCCAAATAATGATATATGATACAACAATAAATAGTAACAAAGATTGAGATATGATATGCAAATGATGGATGTGATTGAGTACAAAATTGCCATTAAAGCAAATACTTCAACAGCAGAAATGATCCCAGTAGGTCTCAACAGGAAAGGCATACACCTTAAACATGATTTCTAATATGGATTAAAGCTCAATTACTCTAACACACAGGGATCACAAGAATAGCAACAAGGTTTGATGACTGCACAGTACCACAGAGTCGACCAGGTCACAAATTCTACGGTGCATGCCCACACGCCTGTCACCTAGAATGTGTATCACCTCAACACCAACCACATAACACGTATTTCGGGGATTCATACCCTCAGAACCAAGTTTAGAAGTGTTACTTACCTTAAACCGTGCAAATCTCTACTACAACAAGCCTTTGCCTCGTGAATCGGCCTCCGAACGACTCAAATCTAGCCATAAACAACTCAATAGAATCAACACGAGCTATAGGATAATTCCATATGAATAAGTTAAGTTCTTTTACAAAAGCAAGAAAGTCAATTCAAAAAGTCAACCTCGGGCCCACATCTCAAAATCTGACAAAATTAAAAAAAAACCGAACAACTATTCAACTACGAGTCCAACTCTACCAAAATCACCAAATTCCGACACCAAATCGTCACTCAAATCTCCTATTATTACTCTCCAATATATAGGTCAAAAATCCCCAAATTTTCACTTCAAAAATACCAAATATATGAGGGAAATTCAACGGGTATTCAATACAAATAGATAAAAACGACCAAAAGTTGCTTACCTCTCAAAATCTAGCGAAAACCCCTTCACAATTTGCCTAAATCTGAGCTCCCAAAGTCTAAAAATGAATAAATCACGAAACCCTTCGAATTTAACAAGCATTTCGCTTCTGCGGCCCATTTAGCCGCTTCTACGATATCGCTTTTGCTGTTAAAAATCCGCATATGCGGAGTTACACTAGACACCGGACCTCGCGCACATGCGGTCCCTTCTTCGCACCTGCTGGACCGCATCTGCGGACACACCCATCTCTTCTGCGATCCCAGCCTCACTGCCCAGCTCCGCTTTTGCGGAACATTTCTTCCAAGAGCGTGTCCACTTCTGCGGATTTCCTCCGCACCTGCGCTTCCCAGCAGCCTTCTCCCTTTTTACACCTATGCACACCTAGCCGCTTCTGCGGCTACACACCTGAGCCAATCCTTCTGCAGGTGTGGTGACACCAGACCTGAAGCACTTAAGTCGCGCCTACGCGCCAAGATGACCACCAAATGAACCTGTCAGATCCTGCACATTTAGTGCAGAAGTGTAAGATGATTACGTAAATCAATGTGTACTCAGTAAGTATCTAGCCTAACCCCGGAGAAGTAGTGACGAGGGGTTGACATCGACACTTACTAGTGGTCCAATAAAATAGTATGGTAAATCATAAACAGATATGAGGCACAACAGTAATAATGATGTAAAACAGTAACTAATATAATTCTCCAACATTTCTTTTGACGATATAAATCTCTCAAATCTCCTATGCTATCTCAACAGATTAGAAATATGAAATACAAATCTCAAACAAATAAGTAATACCATATAAACGCCAGGCCTCAATAAAAGGGGAATCTCATGAATATCCGGACAACTAGAGGTATCACGCACGATTATGCTGAGGTCGTACGGCGCAATCCAGAGTAGTGTGTACACTACCGAGTGTCGATCGACGCGAACCAGAGATGCATCCCAATATACTGCCGAGGCGTTCGGCCCGATCCACAGGAAAGGAAGAAACTTATCGAATTATGAGTAACATGCTTACAACATAGGTGCACGAGCATGAAGTAAATATGACTTTTACCATTTATCAAGTATCTCGCCAAACAACTCAAGGTGATAAAGCTCGACCTAATATATTAACAAATCAATTTCAATTATAAATTCACTTAATTAAACTAGCAAAATAAGTTCAAATAATTCAAATATTACATGATAAAGTCTTAAGTCTACCCAAACATAACATGCTTTTAGCTACGTACGGACTCTCGTCACCTCGTGCATACATAGCACCCAGAACTAGTAGTGCATAATAATTTTAACACCTATGAGGTAGTTCCCCCTCACAAAGTTAGATAGGAGACTTACCTCGCTCCGAAGGTCCAATAGCCGACTCCAATACCTATCTAACTCCTCAATTCAAAGCCAAACGATCCAAAACTAGTCAAAAAACATGCAAACCAATAAAAATATACGCCAACACTCATAATTAATTAATTTATCACAATTCCCAACTCCGTTCAAAAAGTCAGCAAAGTCAACCCTCGAGCCCACGCGTCCGAATTTCGGATATTCTTGAAGATAATCTCTACCCAAAATACCACGAACTCAAATATATATTTTATTCCTAATTTCATGTCCAATTTCGTGGTCAAAATCCAAAAATACCAAATTCTAGGTTTATTAAAAAATTTCACGATTTCTAACAATTTCCATGTTTAAATCCTTGTAGAATCCATGTAATTAACTTACAATATGTGAGAATTACTTACCTTGCCATAGATGAAGAAAATACCCTCTTGAAGAGCTCGAAAATTGACCAAACCATGTGAGAATTGGAAGAAATGAACCAAAAACCGAAATAAAACAAGTCTGCCCAGCAACTCCTTTCTTCGCGATCGCGGACAAGCACTCGCGATCGTGAAGACTAACCTCGACCAGCTGCTAAAATGCTCTTCGCGAACGCAACACATAGGTCGCGAACACGGTAGTCAACTCTCCAGTTCCTAAGCGAACATGACCAAACCATCGCAAATGTAAGATAAATCACCCGGTGCCCTTCCCGCCTAACCTTCTATGCGATCGCGATACACTGCCGCATAAAGCTTCACGAACGCAAAGAACAAACTTTCTGATGCCCAAAATACCTTCACGAACACGACCCCTTCTTCGGGATCGCGATGAAGGAAGCACTAGACACCAAAAACACCTATCCAAACAAGGAGAAATGGCATGTATTCCATCCAAAACTCACTGAGGCCCCCGAGATCCCGTCCAATCATACCAACCAGGCCCAAAACATGACACAAACTTGCTCGAGGCCTCAAATCACACCAAACAGAATCCAAAATATGAATCGATGATCTAGATCCTTCTTTTAACTTTCATACTTTGCCGAACACGTCTGAATTATACTTAAACATTTGGGAATGACGCCAAACTTTATGTGCAAGTCACAAATCACGATACGAACATATTCCAAGGCTCAGAACCACAAACAGACATCAATAACTTCAAATTCCACTTCAAACTAAACTTAGTAAATTCTAAAACATTCAAAAATGCCAACTTTCCACGATAAGCGCCGAAATATTCCCGGACAACGTGATACTCAACGCGAACGTAAGCCCAAGTCTGAAATCATCATATGAACCTGTTGGAACCTTTGAATCCCGATTCTGAGATCGTTTACCCAAACATTAAACCTTGGCCAATTCTTCCAACTTAAAGCTTTCGAATTGAGAATTTTACTTCCGAATCAACTCCGAACTTCACGAAATTTAATTTTGACCACATGTACAAGTCATATAACATGAAGTGAAACTACTCAAGGCCTCAAATGGCTGAATAACACGCTAGAGCCTAAAATAACCGGTCAGATTATTATGATGAAGATCATGATTAGGGTTGGTGGGGGAGGTTCGTTCGGGTGAAGACCGAATATCATATTCCCCAAAAGTTTTACCGTTCCTTGAAAAGTGGAACTCAACCCCTAAGTTATCTTTCCTTCCTAAGTATCATGGTGCTTTCTTTGTTCATTTTCTAATTGCTTGTGCCTATCATTGTGAAGTGGTCACCCAAGTTCTCAATGCAGTCCCCCGCTTCAAGGAGTGGATCGAGGGGATCTGCAAATAAATATCGTATTTTGAACATGAATGGCGCAAGATTTCAAAGGGCAAGTGGGAGGCTTGCTATCATGGTGAATCCTCCTCCCGAACAATTCTACTTTCATATTTAACCTTTCTTTCTACTAAGTCTTTTCCCTTTTTAGATTTTCCCAAGACCACTAAGCTTCAACCATAGGATAAGGATGAGGCTCCGTCCTCACTTGCTAAACCCTCTGCTTCAGGACATCCCGGAGCTGCTGCACAGGAGGAGAAGAAAAAGAAAAAGAGAAAATCTTCTGGCTCCCCGGATGCCAAGGTCTAGAAAAAGATGGTAACTATTTGGGTCCGAAAAAGTAACAAGAAGAGTACCAAAGCCAGGGTACCGGACCCCGACTCCCTCTTTTGGCTCAGGTATTACCCTAAAGACGATGATCTAGAGTTCATCACTCATGGGTCAACCATTGATGTAGGAGAAGAGATGGCTACCGGGGAAGGTGGACGAGTGGCCGATCCTTCTTCAGCTCTGGAGCCAGAAGAAAAATTAGAGGTTATGGCCTCCTAAGAAGATATCCCGCCCCGAGGGAAATAGCCGCTGTCATTAGTCACCATCTCACACAGAGTCTATATTCGAGGAGGCTCGGGCCAATAAAGAGAAATTGAATGAGACGGCATGGGGCGAAGACGAGGCCCTTAACATGTTTTTTGATGGCGTTGACATGGGTGCGTTGGAGGATGTAAAAACCCGGTCGATTTTTTTGAGAATTTGCACCCCGTTCGATATCTTAATGTCTCGAGCAGCTTCATATTATGTGTTATGACTTACATGTGTGGTCAAGTGTGATTTTCGGATGGTTCGCGATCAATTTGGGAGAAGGACTCTTGTTTTAGAAGCTTAAGCGGTAAGAGTTGACCGAGATTTGACTTTTATATAGATGAATCTGAAATGTTAATCAATGTTTCCAACAGCTTTGTATGGTGATTTTGGACTTAAGCATGCGTCCAGATTTGGATTTGGAGGTCCGTAGGTTAATTTGAAGCATTTTGGCAAAAACTGGAAAGTTAAAGTTTTGGAAGGTTGAGAGGTTTGACTGGGAGTTGACTTTGTTGATATCGGGCTTGAATGAAGATTCTGAGAGTTGAATTAGCTCCGTTATGTCATTTGGGACTTGCATCAAAATTTGACGTCATTCCGAGTTGATTTGATACGTTTTGGCACGAGTTTTGGAAGTTGGAAGATTTAAAAATTCATAAGTTCGATTGGAGGTGTGATTCATAGTTTTGACATTATTTGATGTGATTTGGGGCCTCGATTAGGTGCGTATTATGTTATGGGACTTAATGGTATGTTTGAACGAGGTCCCGAGTGGCTCGGGTACGTTTCAAACGGGTTCGGATCGTTATGGAAATTTTTGGTTAAGGTTGTTGGGCAGTATTCTGGTGTATCCGCATCTGCGGATGTTTGATCATAGATGCGGAGCCGCTTTTGTGAGTTTTTTTCGCTTCTGCGATGTAGAGACCTAGGAGGAAGCTTCGTTTTTGTGGAGTTTTGAACGTAGGTGCGACAACCGCTTTTGCGGCCCAGTGATTGCATATGCGACGACGTCCGCTTCTGCGGCTGTTTGTGCACCTCTGCGGAGTCGCATGTGCGACTCAATCTTGCGCAGGTGCGGCCACTGGGCTGGCTAGTTGGGTTCATAGATGCAAACTTTTTCTTGCAAATGCGAGGCCGCAGATGCGGCGTTTCTATTCGCAAATGCAAAATTACTGGGCAGAATCACATATATTTGAGGGTTTGGCATCTTTGTTCATTTCTGAGTTTGAAGCCTCGATTTTGAGCGATTCTTGATGGATTCTTCACGAGTTTGATTTTGGTAAGTGTTATCTATATGAAAATGATTACATTTCATGATTTTATACTTATTTATATTATTAAATCAGCGAATTGAAAGGAAATAAATGTGAGATTTTGTAAAATCTTTCAAAAATATTAAATGAGGATTTGAAAGGCGATTTGATATCGGAATTTGATAATTTTTATATGGTTGGACTCATATCAGAAGGGGTGTTCGGGTTTTGTGAATTTTATCGGGTTCCGAGGTGGGGGACCAAATGTTGAATTTTGGGCTGACTTTTTTAGTTTTAATTAAAGATTGAAGCTTTATTTTCCGGAATTATTTTCTATGCGTTTTATTTACGATTTGAAGTTATTTGGGCTAGATTTAAGCCGCCCGGAGGTTGTTTCACTCGGTAAGGTTATTTTAGCGTATATGTCTAGCTTCTTTGAGGTAAGTATCTTTCCTAACTTTGTGTGGGGGAACTTTCCCTTAGGATTTGAGTCATTTGTGCTAATTATGTCATGTGAAGGCCGTGTACGCGAGGTGACGAGTCCGTGCTCGGGCTTATTTGTGAAAATTTGACTGTTTAGGACTCTTAGGTTCTTATGTTCGTTAGATATGAAGTTGTTTTGTCATGTTAAATCCCCCCGTTTACTAAATTCACCCTTACGTGTCTTATTTGGAATTGATTGATTCATGTTCTACCCTTGTTGCCAATTAGACCCTTATGTGCCTTAGTTGAAGTTGTTGCTTCTTTTTTGTTTTGTTGTCTTTTCCGTAGTTGGTTAACCTTATTTGAAGTTATTATTATTTCTTCCTTAATTGTTTATCCTTAATTGAAATTATTAGTATCTCTTCCATAATTTGCTTAACCTTAACTGAAATTACTATTATCTCTTCCATAATTGCTTAGCCTTAATTACTATCTCTCTTGTCGTCGAATTGAACTTTTGTGGAGTCATTGTTACACATTATCTCTCCCTTGTTGAGCTATTCTTGTTGAGACCATTATTCCCTATTATGTCTTTCTTTGTGAGCTCGTTCTCCCATTTCTCTGTGTTCTAAAGTTTCTTGTGATTATTTACTTGTCGTATTCTCATGTTATTGTTTTTGTTGTTGTTGCAGCAGTACATTGTGGTTGAGTCGTGGGCTCCTTATTGTGAAATTCTATTATTGTTTGGTTTCTCTGGCAAATTGTGATTTTGGGCACTTGAGGTGCGATTTGTGATACGTTGTGATATTGATACGCATGCGGTGGTATAAGGTCTGGGTGTTGAAATGCATGCGGTGAGATAAGGTGGGCTTGATATGCGTGGCTAGTAGGGGAACTACTAGAAGCCATGTAGTGTGATAAGGTGGGTTAAAACGCAAGATGCTATTTTGGGAAGAATAATTTTCAAAACTAAATGTTAAGGCTCCCGCGGTGATATAAGGAAAGATTGTGATTCATTTTGTGATTTGAGACTACGAGGCAGCACCTTGGTAGTGATTGTTGTTGACATTCCCCATTTTCTGTACTTGTCTTTGATCGTTGTTTCCTTAGCATACTATTAATTGGCTTTCTCTGTGTTGCACTATTTTCATAGTTCTGTGTAGCTAATCTTGTTATACTATTCGTTGTTTCAATTTCATTTCTGTATTTATTACACTGTATATTTTGTGATGATCGTTTCTTATGAGCCATTCATTGTCTATACTCTTACTTGTTGACTTGAATTGAGGTAGAATACTTGCACAAGCATACACGTAAATAAATCACCCATATCGGTCTAAGAAGATGAATCCTAATGTTTTGACCATTTATACGTACTCCCGTGTACTTGCCTTATGCGTGAGAGTTATCCTGTTGGCACGTGAGTTGTCAGTGCAGTCATGAGTCATTATTATTGTTGGCACGTGAGTGGTCCATGCGGATATTAGGTATTGTCACTCCCTTGGAACGTGAGTCGTCCGTGCTGTGATGAATTGTAATATGGGCACAAGATGCCAAGTGATTAGGGTTCACGAATTGGGATCCGTGATTGGTGATTTAGAGGTTTGGTATCTCGTGGAAATTCTTGGATAAACCTGGTGTGAAAGCGGTTGTT